TAGATCGAAATATCTGAGCACTTAAAAATCTTGAAAATTGATCATCCGAAAATTCATTACAAGGTGCATTATTTCCGTCCCTTGAAATCCATTTTTTTTTCATATCCATGTATCTTGAGGTCGAGATGATCAATTTGGGGATTTTTGGACATCAAAACAATTTCTTCTAGTGAAAATTTTGAGGTACGCTTTAATTTGATTGTTTAGGGCCTCGTCCTCGTATCAACAATTTCTTATTTATTTGTTAGCTTGTATTTATTATTATTTTTTTTGAATTTATAGATATATTTATTAAATTTAATCTATTTATTGGTTTTAATTAGTAGGAATGTGATGATGGTTGCCCCGAATGAAGGCCAGTTTATGCAATTGCTCTTGAAGCTGATTAGTGCAAAGAAAACGATTGAGATTGGTGTTTTTACTGGATACTCTTTACTTGTCAAAGCTCTCTCCTTGCCTGAAGATGGAAAAGTATGCCACTTTTCTTTTAACATAAAATAGATTTTGTTCCACATTTCCTTTATTTCATGGAATTTCGTAGTTTCTATTGATTTGGCCACCACTTTTTATTTTTCTTGGGGTTGATTAGTCATCTTATGGGTGCTGTAAAAGAAAAAAAATCAAAATAAAGAATTAAACAAAAAATTGTTTTGAAGAAAATGCCTGAAAATTTTGGGAAAAAACAAAAATTCATTGAGACAAATTTTTTTTATTTGATTGAAAAAATGCATTTACGGCTTTTTTAGATCGATATTCTATGAACATTTTATGAAAAGTTTGACTTGATTTGGTAAAATAATGAGTAAGAAATTGAATATTGTCGATTTTCTGTTAAAAGATCCCAAGGCTTGGACTCTATTTCTTCAAACAAGGACTTTGAGCCAACAATTTGAATCTAATTCCAAGTTGTTTTGTTGCTATTTAACAAAGAAATTTAAAAAGAGCGAAACAAAAATTTACAGAAAATTCACAACACTTTCATGAAAGAATCTCGTAAAAATCGAAATTTGCTGAGCCTAAACTTTTTGGATAAAAAATAGGTCGATCTATATTCAAATCGACTAATTGGAAGTTTCAAATAGTTTTGATGAAATATTTGATTAAAAAATATATAGAAATATGTCTATAGATACTTTTTTTCCCCTTTCATATGAAATAAAGAAGGAAAAATATAGAATGAGACCATTTACCTTTTATACAAGGTGGTCACATTAATCTTGACCATTGAATGTAAGGTTGCAATTATTCCATTGATCATGCCCAAACTTCAAAAGGAATTTTCTTGAATTTTGTGACACATCCAAGTTATCAAATTTCATATCAAATATTTGTAAGGAATTGTGACCACCTTGTATTAAAGGTAAATAAAGAAACTACAAAATAAGACAATATCGAAAACATGGGAAACGATATCATGTCACTATGCTTTTATAAATAATGCAACCATACTTCTAGAAAACTATGTTTGTGGTATTTGTATGAGCTAAAATTTTTCATTTACATTCCCTTCATCTCAATAATCAATTTAAAAAAATAAAATAATTTGCACCACATATATGGTCAAAATGAGTCCCTTCCAACAATGAATCTAGACTATCTACTTGGTGAATTTCAAGATATAGGCCTTTATGAATTCAAAATCAAATTTTTTTTTTAATGCTTTTAACCTAATGATAATAAAGTTGTCTAAAGAATTTGGGAAGAAAAAAGATCATTCTAGGGCCTAAATCTACACATCCCACCAAAATGGATGGTGTATGTTAGGCTAAAAAAATAATTTTTATATTGCATTTTCAAATTTTTTTTGGTGATTGTTCATTAGAATGAAAAGAGTGTATATTTAAAATTTAGGTCGAACAAATGACCCTAACATGATTTTTGAAGATTATTTCATTATATTCCTATACAACCGTTGCATGAAATAACTCCCCCATAAACATTGCTATGAGTTATTGATATTGTCTTATTAGTTAATTACTTAGATTGTGAATTAAATCTCTTTTTTTCCCGTTCAAGAATAATTGTAATCATCACCTTCGACTTGCGTGCATGTATTGCATTTTTTAAACTTTGTTTTCAAGGTCCATCTGAACTCTTCAATTGTTTTTCTTTTTTCTTTTATATTTTTTTTTTTTGGCAAAATTGATCTGTACATCTCATTTTTGTAAAGCATTTATCAAGAGATCCAATGTTTCAAAACTTTTCTTATGGTAATCTTTTGTATCTTCCAACCTCCTAGACCCAAAAATCCCTTTTGACCGCATATTACTGACCTAAAAAAAATATGAAATATCATTTTTTTTCCCTTTTATCTAAACTCCTTTCACCACATTTATTTTGGAAGTATATCCGTTGGAGATGGACCATCCTCAAATCCTTTCAAAACGATCCAAACTCTGTGAACCAAACTTCCTTTTTTGACCATGGTTCCTTCTCACGTTTCTTCTCCTCAAACTCGAAACCATAACAGCAAAGGATGCCGCTTGGAACCAGGCATATTCATGGACGATTTTGCCACTATGTTGTACCAAATTAACTGCAAAAAGTAAATTGAACTGTCCTAACCAATGATTTCATGGCTGAAGAGGACTCGAGAACCAGTAGCTTCAATGAAGCTAGATCGAGCTCTAGGGTTTTCATAAAGAGAACTAGCTCCATTTAGGGTTAGGGTTTGGGCAAAGAGAGAACTGCCATGAAAGTAGCAGAGGCTTAGTAGAGCTCGAGCTTTTACCTAATAGCCAACTCAAGCCTGCAAATATTAGGCCCCCTCCTTTTGTGTTAAATTTACAGAGACAAAATTACGCTCCTTTTTGGGAGGTTTCTCAGCACCTAGCGCGGTTCTCAGGCCACCGAAAAGTCAATGGTATTGGAATTACCCGGTCAATGTTAATGTTTCAGGTCTTTATAGGAGGACTTTAACGAAAAATCAAGGGGGCATAAACTTTCCAGTAATTTTTGGACTTACCTCACAGCACGAATTCAGACGTTATAGAGTAAGTGGGATGCTTAGATAAATGGGGAAAATGAGTCATTTCATATATTTTTTGGGTCAATAATATGTGGTCAAGGGGGTTGTTTGAGTCCCAGGGGTTGGAAGATTCAAAAGATTGAAAATCCTTGGGTCTCTTGAGAATAGGTTTAAAAAATAGGGAGTACAATGGTTTTGTTTTGTTTTAGCTTTCTTTTTTTTTTTTTTTTTAAGTTGAGGATAGGATCCTTTATCGGGGATAAGCATGAAACTCAAGACATCACATTGTGGTTTCCTCCACTGAACCTATGAACCTACGTACCTTTGAGTCCAAAACTTAAGAGAGGCGAAATTATCCATTACCATTATATTGCCATTACATTTATTGTTCGCGACACTTTCGAAACAAGCATTGTACTTCAAAATAACCATTGTACTCCTGGAATCCCTAAAATCATTTTGGAAACATCAGGAGCACTGTTATCTTCAAATTGATGACCACCATACCCTATTGGATTTATTTATTTATTTTATACAAATAGTACAAAATTTTATTAATCAAAAGAAAGAAGCGAGTGCATCAAATAAAACAAACATATATGCAATAGCAATGGACTCCATAGAATAGAAGTACCCCTCTTGACAAAACTATCTGCAATGTCAATGGCATATCTCTAAACATGGTGAAAACATATTTCCATCCCAAGTATCCACAACTTCACCCCAAACCGACGGTACTCTCTACGGTGGCCTACTCTGCTTATTACAACAATTTATGATATTTCAAGAATCACCTTCTGACACACAACACCAACCAATGAACGTTTTTTTAACCAATTTCAGCCCTTGCAAAAGAGATTGAAATTCAGCCTCATCTGTTGTTGTAAAGCCACATGGTCTAGCATAAGATATCAAAAGTTCCCTTGAGGAATTCCTAACCAACCTGTTAGGCCCAGATTCCCAAAAGAATATCTATGAAAATTTAGCTTGATGCAACCATCCATAGGTGGATTCCATCTTCCCTTAGGCTTAAGGTAAACTTCAGAACCGATGATAATAGATTTTAGATTAAGAATGATATCTACCTTTGAACAGCTCGTCCCTTGTTTGGTGATGGAAAACCAGTTCCACAGAGTATTTTGGATTATATTTATAACATCCTCCAACTCTCGAAGCACTCTTTCAAACATCCTTGTGTTCCTCTCCTTCCAAAGGGTTTTCCAACATCACAAGTTTTGATCAACTAAAGGGTTTTTAATGTGGTTTTCTAACATTGAAACAATCTTTGCAGGTGGGTTCTGAGGTGCATCTTACTTTTGTAGTACAAAATCGACGCATTACATAATTTTTTTCCTTAAGATACTAATAAAATGATTTTTTTCCCTTAAGATATTAATAAAATGACAATAATGAGGTTGATGACTATGATTTTGATTTCAGGTAACAGCTATAGATGTCGATAACAAGGCATATGAAGAGGTTGGATTGCCCATCATCCAAAAAGCTGGGGTAGAACACAAGATCAATTTCATCCACTCTCCTGGTATTCCCTACTTGGATGAATTGCTTCAAGATGTGAGCTCTCTTTCTCTCTCTCTCTCTCATATTTTTACATCTTTACATCTAAACGAGGAAGGTCCTTTCTCCCTCTCATGTAACTTTCTTCCCTTTGAGGGAGGAAGTCTCCCTCTCATTTCATTTACATCCCTAAAGCCAAAAGTGGAAGGTCTTCTCTCTCTCTCTTTTTTGGGTAATTTAGTGGTGAAGACATGTCCCTACCCATTTTTTAAAATAGTTTAAGAGTTATTTTTTTGAAAATGTTAATGGGGTGTCATTAAGAATGAAAACCATAACCTGGTGATTAGGATGTAGGGTGCTACCACCCTGAACCATTTCCCCTCCTCCTCTCTCATGTAACTGACATCCTTTCAGCCAAAGGTGGAAGGTTCCTTTGACTTTGCATTTGTGGACGCTGATAAGGAGAACTACTTGAATTACCATGAGAGACTACTGAGGCTTGTGAAGGTTGGAGGACTCATTATGTATGATAACACTCTGTGGGGTGGTAGCCTTGCCATGGATGAGTCCTCCCTCTCAGAACACATGAAGAAGACGAGACCCAATTTGCTCAAGCTCCATGAAACACTAGCCATCGATTCGCGTGTCGAGATCTCGCAGATCTTCATAGCTGATGGTGTCACACTTTGCCGAAGGCTATATTGACCTTTTTGACATGATTGATTTCCATTGGTTTCTCAGTAATTTAGGGTTTTATGCATAACATAGTACCTTAATATGTAGGGGTTGCAATGTTAACTCGCCTGATCGGCTCCCCCCTAAACAACCAAATATGGCGTGGGGACGAGGCTAGGCCTGAGCTTGACCCATGGCTGGTATGGCACCGGCTCGGGCCATGTTTGGCTCGATCCAGACTTGACCCTTTGGTAGTCATGTACTAAGCTGCAAATGCGATAAACATAAACAAATACCATTGATATTATGAATAAATTTAGGTGCAGGGTTGGTATTCTCGGCTATTATGGTGAACTTGATCAAATTTTTTTTGATCTTGGACGCTTAAATGTTATTTTTAATTTCCAGGTCAATGGCAAAGTCAACAAAAAGGATTACAATTAATTAGTATACGTTCATATGATCCATGGGTGGGAATGCATTTGTATACTCCAGGGTCTAAAGTATAAAAGGATGAAGGTTCTATACGGCTTAGTTTTTATGAAAAGAACCTCAAATCCTCGTTTGGAAAGCACCTTCGGTAACGAAAATCTCTATGATGGATCTATACCAATAATAAAATTTGAAACTCAAAAAAATGGTACATATCTTGTGGATCTATGAACACTAAATTTTAGGTTGAACTGGACGGTCTAAATAATAGGTTACAATATACACAATTTTTAGAGCTTAAAATCTTAAAATATGTTCAAGCTGAGATTTTGATGTAAAGGTATTCCAATGTTTGAATTGTAATTTTTGTTGAATTATGAGATGAGATTTTACTTATTTTGATAGGGCTGCGGCCCTATTGAACCATTTTTCAGAATGAAAACCACCAGGTGATTTATTTCATGGTAATGGGGATGTCAGTCATCCACGAGGATAAAAATATTGGTAGAAATTGCTCCATGGTGGCACACCTTTCATTAGTAAACGTGGTCTTATAATATACAATTCCTTATATTATATAGTTTTATATTGTTTACTAAAATAGGTTTTGTAAGGGAAATTGGTGTAATTATTCATCCTTGCTAAAATTTTTGCTTTGAGTGGTTTTAGGACCCAAAATTTTGGTGTTTTGACCCCACTAGCTCAGAACCAAGCTAGAAAAAAGAGATAAGAAAGTATTCAATGTGAGCCATAAAAAAAAATAACATGCTCTAGGATTTCACATAGATCTTGGTGTTTAGGTACCTCAAAGTAAATTTTTTTTCTTGAAAATACTCATATGGTTTCTACAGCAGATCCCCAAATTTCAAATAGAAATCCTCCCAGATAAATTATTTTCCTGAAGCAATAAGTGTAAATTTTGCTCCAAGAAGAGAGGTCAAGAAATTTTAAAATTGGAAATTTGAGGTAAGTTGTAAGCATTTTGATTTTCAAGATGAGGAATTATATTACAAAGTGCTAAATTACTAAACGCATAAAGCCTCACAATTCTATAGCCTTTCTTATTGTGTAGGGGGAATTTATCAAAATATTTAAAGGAGAAATTTACCACATACTTTGCGGTTTGCACAAATTGAATTAAATCAGTAAAGGACAAATATTGTATTGTAAAATGATATTTTGGCTCTAAATTTTTCAGTTTGACGATTATTCCCTAATTATAGTCCTCATGGCCACAATAAATCATCAGCCTTGGGGGTCCTTACTGTGCAATTAGCTGATTGAATGGTGATGGAGAGAGAAAGGAATTGTGTAACACATCACATGACAATGATGCTTGGTCTCGCTCCCTTTTCAACCACCTTCTGACAGGCATTTGGATGGTGATGACCCTTATGATCTCTAACTTCGAGTGGCCACAAGGGTCACACAAATTTTCATCGATTTATAACCGGAAAAAGATTATAGAGCTTAACTCCACCACTTGATTAGGTGGTCTAATCTCCCAAAAGTAAATATTTTTTCTGATCTAAAATTTTATGATCGTATTTGACCCACCTTATGAACACTAGAAAGAAATGAAAAACAAAAAACTAATTTTCAGCTCGTCAAAGTTTAGAGTTATCCTCCGTTAAAAGGATGGTACAAAGTTTGTCTTCAGGAAAATCGGGAGGACGAACTAGTAAATCATGCTCCCGTGGGAGCATACTATACTCTTACTCTATCGGGCACAAAACTCATTTAGGGAATTTGTTTTTCTTTCTAAATATTTGGGAACCATCTAAGAATCACTAGATGATCATTTTTAAAACAAAAAGCATCAATTTTAACTTATGTAACCCTTAGCTCTCGACATCAAAAAATTGAATAGTCTCTGTTCAATCTTAAGATTATATTTTTTTCAAGTGCGTAAAGAGTGTTCCTAGGATTTATTTATTTATTTATTGAGGCTAGTGAAGTGGTTATATCCCTAAAACTTGGGGTCCTACCAATACTCTTATATTGGGTTTTACCTGGGGCAGTCAATGGACGATGTGCTCCCTATGAGCATGAAATCTTTTGGCTTGGAGAAACTTTAAAGTTCCAATGAAATCATCTTTTGTAGAATTTATATCCAATGTGACTAATGATGATAGGATAATTTTTAGATAAAGAAAATATACGGCCTATTAGATGGTTTCTTTCTTTTTCTTGAGTGTTTTTATTGGAATTTGGAGGCAACCATCATCATACACATTACATCCACATCATTTACTCAATCTAGTAAATCTATTAGTTGGTCCTTTTCTTGATATATAATTTTCAAACTGCTTGGATCATAGCTCAATATTGATCTTGTATGAACCGTTAGTTGCTAGAGTGAGTTGTTCCCATTATGTAGTGTTGCTTCTAGGTTCCCCTCTTTTTAATAGGTCCGTCTATCATTTTGATTACACTCAAAATAACTACAATGACGAACCAATAATCTCACTCCACCAGTGGCCGTGAATCAATCTGGTGAGGAGTGAACCATTAATATGGTCCATATAATTGATAGAGATTTCTTATTTCATATCAAACATTCATTCAAGAAAATAATGACATAAAAAACAATCAACACGTTCAATACCATGTACAAAAGATTACTTACTGCAATCCATAAATTCTCAATTAGTTATCAACTCATACAATTATTTCGGTATCCATGTTAATTATAGTAAAAGTGCAAATAAGGAAGCTACAATATGGACATTGGTCGAATTTCATGAGTTCGTCTCCTTCTTAAATTAACACTTAATATTATCATTGATAACAAGAACAAAAAATATAACCCAACTATTAGATTGAAATTTCACATGCCAAAAAAAAATAAAACAAACACAAAAAACTGCAATCCGTCATCCTTTTTTATTCTACTTCAAATTTTTGCGAAAAAGCTTCAAATTTAATTTAAAATATTTGTAACTCATTCTACTAGTAAAGCCCTATCGAAATGTATGAATGTGTTATCATTAAAGTGGTTTTATGATCCAAAGATTAGGTTTTTATAAGCCCCAAAACCCAATCCACCATTAATCATATTTTCCCCAAATTAATACACAACCATTACACATTTGTATGATTTTCTTGATAATATTACACATGTGAGATTTTTTTGAAGATTGACCCACCTAGAAAAAAAAAAATGATGGCAACCTCTTTAAAAAAATAATAATAAAATGAATGGAAAATGATGCGGATGTTAAACCTACAAGATTAGAGGGCCAAATGTTTGCAGTTGTGGAGCTTCATATGACTGCTCCACGGATAGAAAAGGCTCTGGGATGTAGAGAAAGAGGAAAGAGAGAGCGATAGAGAAAAGAAATAACAGGAAGAAATGACTGATGGGGTTTTGGGGAATTCTAGAGAGGTGTCCGGTAATACGAAACATGAACAACAAAGAACTACACCATTTAACAAAGAAGTTAGCTGTCCGGTAATATGAACTCCAAACAGTTCTTTACGTTTGAAATTAGAATAGACCCACCTATCTAGTATTGTTATTTCCGGTCACGAGGACTGGCTTTTTTTTTTTTTGGCAACATCAAGCTGGCACAATCATGCGGAAGTCAATGTTATTCTAGGGTTTTTCTAACAAATTATTGAGATTTTTTTTCAAACTAGGTAGGCAATTGAATTTATGTTTTGGTAGGCAGCTGCCTTCCTAGGCCGCATTTCCCTTGTATAAAACAAGGAAAGGACACGTCCTCACTAACTACAATTTGATTTTTTAAAAGATTAGGTAGGATGTGATGGACCTTGTTTAGAGCACCTAACAACGGGCTAGGTTTGTTGGACCGGTAAACATCCGTCCTAAAGTTGGATGTTGTGCAACATAAGTCGATAATGTATCAAAAAATGCAAGAAAAATATTTTTTATTTTAAAAATTTATTTTTCTTTCCTTATTCTTGATCATATTGGCTTAGATGATGAATCTATAAAATATTTACTAAATAAATCCATCTTTAAAATGGTTTTTACGAGGGGGTTACATGTGAGTCGACTGACTTATTGAAACCTGATTTAACAAATAAAATGTAAATATATAAAAAAGGTCGTAACCCGAAAAAGGTGGGTTGGAAATGATTTTAACCTTTAGCTTATACACAAAATGCAAATATATCTACCGATGAATATTATAGTTTCTAAGCATTATTTCAAGGAATGTACACAGGGAGAAACGAAGAAAGGCCTTGGAAAGGGACACCGTTTGAAAATGGATTAATGGACATTCATTAGCTTTGTTGGCTATTTTATTCATTAAGTCAATTAATATCGAAACCTACTCTTTGGCTATTTTATTCATTAAGTCAAGTCAATTAATATTGAAACCTACTCTTCCACTGTTTTTAAAATATAGGTTATACCTGAGGGAGTGACTATTTTAGTGGTAATATTAAAGAGAAAATTGGGGAAATTGCACATGGTTAATTGTTTGCATGGATATTTTTATGTTCCATTTGACTTGGCATTCATTATTAATTAAACTCTAGAAGTTCAGTAGAATGATCAAACCAAACTCCTCTCCTATTTGTCTAATAGTCGGTTTTAGAGAACTACCTAATTTTTTAGTCCTGAGGAACAAGCACTCTATACTTAGGTATCCTATTTCAAAATATGTGGTCACAAGGGCCATCACCGTCCATCCAACAAGTCGAACAATAAAATTATGAGTGCATGTAGTGTATTCCCGTAGGAGCATACTATAGACCTACTCCCATGGGTAAAAGAGCTACGTATGGATGTTTTTCTTCTTTTTTTTCTTTCTTTCTTTTTATTTTTATTTTAATTTTTTTTTTGAGGTTGTTCATTCGGTTGAGTAGGTTATATTTCTAAAATTTGGGTTGCCGATAGAGTTTTACTTGAGGGACTGATGAATGATACG